ATGTAACGTTAAATTTTGAACGGGATACTAAAATGGAATAAAACTTAAACTTTAGGTATGATTTAAAAAATGAAAGTTTAGGTACTAAAATAGACAAAAAATGATAGTTTAGGTACTAAACATATAAGTTTCCCTAATATATAATTGTATGAACTCGTTAATCCTAATTAAAACTATATCATGCTATAAGGGGTCGTTTGGTTCACAAAATGTAATATTACCATTGGGAATAAGATTACTGGAATGTTACATTAGTGATAATATTGTATTATCTTGTTTGGTTTGATTGACAATATGATATTACAATGTTTGGATGAAATAATATAAGATAAGAAAAATGTATGTTTTACCAAATTGTCCTTGAGATAGATTTTCTTTTTGAACAAATGAAAGTTTATAGAAAACATATTTTTTATTATTTCTAATTTATATATTTTTAATAAAATTTGTACAAAAATAACTTAATATATTTTTATTATGGTTATTTTTTTGAAAATAAAATTAAAGTTTGGTGACTAATTTAGAATGCAAGTTATTTTTGTTTGGGATGAATTTAAAATATTCAAAAGTTTAGAAGCTAATTTACAATTAAAGTTATAATTTAAGTAGGTAAATACAATTAACTCTTAAACGTTAAGGACACAAATATAAATCTAACTAGACATCAACAATACATATATCATTCAACGAAAATAAATTAAAATATATATATTTGAGGGTAAAGTACACAAATGGTCCTTCGACTATGGAGTACTGCTTTATTAAGTCATTTGACTATTCAAAGTTATAAAATGGTCCTCTGACTATAAAGTGTTGCCTTGTTGAGTCCATCGACTATTAAAAGTTACAAAATGGTCACCCAATTATTGATTATGTTCCAAACTCGTCATTTTTGTTAAAATTGGGGGTTGTCTAAGGTGAACATTAACATACTAACTATGATATGATAAAATATTATCCCAGAATCTCAAATAACTATCATATTTCATTTATCATGTTAATGTTCACCTTAGACAAACCCTTGTTTTTTTAAAAGAAACATGACAAGTTTTTAACGTCAAGTTTTTTAAAGAAACGGGCGAAAACTGATAGTTTAGATCCTAAATGTGTTAAGTTTTTAACGTCAAGTACTAAAATGAAATGAAAACTAAACTTTAGTTACAAATTTGAAATTTTTGAAAGTTCAAATAACCACACTACCTCTGTTGAGTTTTCCCCGGTTGTTGTTTTTCGATTAATTTTTAAATATTTTCCTTCAACACGAACCACATGTGTAGTGTTAATCTGTAAAACTTAGGACCCTATCTGTACATGATAATTAATATTATATATATATAAAACTAAAGAGAGGGATCTTTCAACGCCCTTGTTCCATTAAGAAAAGGACGAGTGCAATTCGTAAAGATTTTTTGAAAAATAAATTATTAGTTAATATTATAATATTAGTCGTGTGGCAGCTACATGGTGTTTATTTTTTTTCTTCCATTTACTCCCTTCTAAATAGCATTTTTATAAAAGAATATAGATTTAGATAATTGACTTGGGTAGGTATGAACTATCAGGCCTCATAAATAGGGGTGTTTATAATTTGGTTAAAACCGAATTAATCGACCGAATCGAAATTTCGGTCGGTTAACAGTTAATGATTTTTTTTAAATTTTGGTTTCAATTAAATTGGTTCGAAATCGATTAATTAACCGAATTAACTAAAATTATTAAATATTTAATATATTATATATATTATTTAACTTTAGGGGCGTTTAAACTTCGGTTTTAACAAACCAAATTAACCGAATAAATTAAAAAATATTAACTATTAAATATATAATATATATTATTTATAAATTTCGGTTAATTCAATTAACCGACTAATTAACCTCAGTTTGGTTAAATTATTTTAAAAAAATCAATTCAATTAACAGTTAAAGGAAAAAAACCAGTTAATAAAAATTTGAATAATTCGATTCAGTTAGTTAACTGAATTACATATTTGAACACCCTACTCAAAATTATATATATATATTTTTTCCTCTAACAAACTAGAAACTAAAATAATGCAACAAAGAGGAAGTGTACGGTCAACCGCCGAGTTGTATCGAATCTTGACCAATGTTTGCCTGAGTTCGGTGGGTTAAGCTTGTGAGTTGTGATCCGAGTTGCGTGCAAGGGTTTTGGGCAAGATGAAATCACCCTAAACTCGAATCGAATTGAATTTGAGTAGAGAAGATCTATTTTTCGGATCAGATCGGATCGATAAAAAATCCGACAAATAAGTAAGTCCCACATCGGGAGGCTTGGGTTTGTTGAGAAAGACCTCTAATGAATGCATAAAAGCCCAATATCATCATGGGCTAGCTACCATAGCATGTGAGTATATGGCTCATCTTGAAGATTACATTTTTTCCTCCAAATTTTTATGTGACGTATAAGAGTTAATTGTTTCGTATGTCTTCAAACTGTGACCTTAGTTTTAAATTGGTTCCTAAACGTTTGAATATTCTGATTTTATCTCCAAACCATGACTCATATTTTAATTTAGTCCTTAAACTTTTGAACATTTCAATTTCATCTCAAAACTATGACCCTTTTTCTAATTTGGTCCCAAACTTTTGAATATTACAATTTCATCTTCAAATTCATCCAAATATGTAATTAGTTTCAACCGTAGTTTAACATAATTTTTATTAAATATAAAATAATAGAAATTGGCCTAACAATTTTATTAACAAGGGAGGTGATTATTATATACATATAGTTTAAGATGAAATTGGAATGTTCAAAAAGTTTGGGATACCAAATTAGAATGAAGTACATAGTTTGGGGATGAAATTGAAATGTTTAAGAGTTTGAGGACTAATGTAGAATTATAGTCATAGTTTATGGAGAAATTGGAACATTTAAAAGTTATAGATCAATTTAAAATGAGGGTCATACTTTGAGGATATATTATGCAATTAACTACAAGACAATATTTGTTTAAAAATAACTCTCAACCAACAATAAAAATTTACACTCCTGTCATTATTGGTGCTCGAATTTAAGAACTCGTGGAAAAACAACGATTTCTTCACTACCGAAGTCGATTGGTTGGTGCATATTAACATCCGAACCCATTTGTTCATCTGAAATTATGCTAGTGCACATAACTTATTCACCATTAATCCTTTCTTCACTCCATGATCGTCAAGGATGGTTCAAGCTTGACAACCCCGAAGTTGCAAGTTTATTGACCAAAGCCAAAGCATTGCTCGTAAAATACGAGGATCTCAAACCCTGACACCGCAGCATTTTAGCTTGCTTTCCCTTGGGATTCTCGAAACCCTCCATGCAGGTGTCACGTCACGTCCCCCATCTGTTCGTAAAAATGTCCGGCACTCAGGTTCCTAAGGACCCCGAGTGAGCCGTGCAGCAGGTCGATTGCATTTCGAAATCACTCTATGCAATCCGAGATTGGGATTCTGTATCTCCCTCTCATCTCTCTGTATTTCTTCACTTCGGTTAAGTACTGGGAACCTTCTTGGTCTCCCCTATGGCAACCGAAACCCCGGCTCGCGCCCATTTGCTCGTACTTGTCTTGGCGGCGCTGGAAAATGGTGCCAGTGTGCTGATACAAGGGCACGGGTACCTGGTCACGCTGCACGCGTCTTGCACGTAATTGCTTGCTGATCGACCACGTTTTAGGACGCTTAGAAGGAGAAGCAAAAGTGTAGGGTAAACATTGGCGTTTGCCATCAGCATCGAGTTGTATGAGCTTATATGAATGATTTCTCCGGATTTATAGAGGATGGTTCTTTATAGAGGATGCATCGAGTTGTATGAACTAAATAATTTAATTGTTTTGTGATTTAATTCTTCATTTACTTATTTATTTAATTTCTCTTACGCTTTTGGTTCATATGAACCAAATTTGAATCATATGCTACTCATCCTAAGAATATTTGTAATTTGGATAACTTTAATTGTAATTTTTGACAATAAATTTCTTCTTTCTTTGAATATAGCCTCTCAATTTTATATTTTATTCAGTTTAATCATTTTATTCAACTTTTTGCAAATTCATTGATAACAAATTTTACAATATGCAAACATTGTTGTTTGAACTTAAGACCTTTAGAGAAATTTACATTCTATGATCATTGAAATCGCTCAATAAAATGTTATATTAATTTTCAAATATAATATTATTAAAAGAGATGCTATCCTATTCAAAAAAGATATATTACAAACTTACACGTATAAAAAATTACAAAAATATACTATAATAAATCCTGATATTAGTTATACATAACGAAATTTAAAATAGAGTTAAACAAAAATAAATTATCTAAAAAATTTAGAAATAAGAAAAAATATTAAATTAATTTCACAAAATAATCGAATAAATATTAATTAAACTGAAATTATTACTATCATATAATCTAAAAACTATGTTTTAAACACACATAATATGTTTTTATTAATTTATGAATAATTTAAGAAGTGTAAAAAAATTAGGATAAATTATATGATTGGTCACATTCGTTTAAGTTTTGTACGTTTTCCTTACTGAATTAAAAAAACATAATATTTGACCACTTTCGGTTTTATTTAACTAAGATGTGATCATGTTCGTTTTTATTTAATTAAGATGTGATCACTTTTGTATCTGCTTTTAAATATTTAGTCACTAAAATTTTTATTGTCGGAGAAAAATTAAATAAAAGTCACAAGTAAAACGAAAATGATTACTCTTATAGTTTACTATTGAACCCAAAACCCAAAGGTCCAAAACCAAATTGGGCGAGCTTAATTGAACCAGTGGACTAACGAGCCAGTTATATTGGTCTAGACTAACTGGACAATACCCAGACCCAGAAAAATCAAAGTCAAAACGACGACGTTGCAATAAAGATAATACAACTTCCCGCACAATAGCATCAAAAAAAAAAAAAAAAATCTAGGATGAAAATACAAAAGGACCATGGTTTACCTACGGCATAACACGAAAAGCAAAGGGCAAATGTTGTCCGTTCCGTAAGTTTAAAAACTTATTAGTTGTCTGCTGTATGCTTTTGCGTTTTCATTAGGGTTTTACATTTCTTAACATTTCAACTGTCTCTACCCAGTACTAAATCATGAGGTAAGCTTAACGATCTTCCTTTTTGTATTTTTATTTTCATATTCCTAATCTGTGTCCCCCGCCGCCCCCTACTGATTTGATTGATATTGCTCTTTCTTTACCATTTGTGTTCTTCGTCTGTTTCGACATGAGTGTTCTTTTTATGAATGTTTTCGTTATTGGGAAGAATTGTTGTAGTGGGTTTTGATTAGGGTTGGTATCTGCGATTGTTTCGTTTTGGGTGAATTTTAGTGTGGGTTTTTCTTTTATTAATTGTGGTTAAGTTACTTTGTTTATTTTCTTTCTTTATAGTCGTCATCCCGAGGTGAAATGGGCTCAAAGAGCTGATAAGGTTTTCATTACGGTGCAATTATCCGATTCGAAGGATGCAAATGTCAATCTTGAGCCGGAGGGAGTGTTTAGTTTCTCTGGTACTGCTGGAACCGGCAATACCCATTATGAGTTGAAGTTGAATCTTTACGATAAGGTCATTGTGGAGGTAAGATATCGGTCTAGCCATTATCGAGAATTGACAAAGCGTTTGATCCATTTGTTTAGGTTTTTTTGAGAATACTGGATGCTGTCGATTACATTGATCAGTTTATGATAGTATTATGTTGATGAGCAGTTGCTTTTTAATTGAATCCCGAATATTTTATGGCTAGCATTTAATGTCCTATTTTTAGTACTACAATTAAGTGCATTAGCATTTTTTCTTTTGTGTTATACTGACTTTATGGATGTGCTTGTTAGAAGGGTGACACAAGTGAAAGAAAATGAATTTTTGGTGTGTTTTGAATGGGAAAAATAAGAGGAGTAAAATAGCAAAGTAAATTATTTTACATTCGTGTCAAACAATCGTTGACCTAAATAATTTTTCCCTTTTTCTACCAAGCATTCTAATGCAAAAAAAGAAAGAAAGTGTTTTATCTTTTCTAAATTCTATCAACTCTAACAAGCTAGGTCTAAGTTATATTTGAAACTGTTGCCTATTAATGTTCTCAATGCTTGGGATAAACATTCTTCCTTCATTATTTGACATCTTGTAAATTTTTTCATTTTTTTCTTGAAAAAAGGAAAGCAAGATAAATGTAGGTGTAAGGAGCATATTCTGCATCTTAGAGAAAGCTGAGAAAGTGTGGTGGAAAAAATTACTCCGCGGGGACGGCAAGGCACCCCATTATGTCAAGGTTGACTGGGACAAATGGGTGGATGAAGATGAAGACAAGGGTATGTTTCTTTATTCGGATTGAACTGATGCGGAGACCAATACAGTTCAAACTGACAATTTATTATTTCCTTCTACTTCTGATCAGGTGCTGGCGATCTTGACTTGGGAGGAATGGACTTCTCGGTATGAAACGGATAATGATATTTTACGTTGATCTATGGTTCCAGCATTAACTTATGAAGACTTCCTTCCTTACCTAATAATTGTGTTGTTCAGAACTTCGGCGGCATGGGCGGCATGGGTGACATGATGGGGGGAATGGGCGGCATGGGTGGAATGGATGAGTTTGAAGACAGTGATGATGAAGGTAAGAATTCTAAAACTGCTTCGACGGTGATATTTTGCCTGTGATTAACTTTTCTCTTGATGTGTCACGTTTAATATGTTGCTGGTTTCCTGCCAAACGTAGGGCAAGAAGCAACAAAGCCAGCTGACAAGGCCGAAGGAGATGCAAAGCTGGATGAGCATGGTGCAGGAACTTCGGAGAAAAAGGAAGCTGAAGCAAGCACATGAAATCAGTTTAACTGAAAATTGAAAAGCTGTTTAGCTATATTTTTCGTTTTTCGTATCTTGGACAGGAATGAAAGCCTGATGTGTTTTTAAGTGCGCGAGATTAAAAATTTGGTTAAACCGGGAAGATATATGTTTCTGTCCAACGGGTAGACAATTTTAGCTCCTTGACATGAATTTAGGATGCTGTAATTGTACCTTTAAATCATTTAGAAATGAGATAATCTGGAACTTATTTGTCCCCACAATAATTCTCCCTGGCTCAATCCCACGATCGAACTAACATCATGAAATTCAGCAAATTCATTCCAAATTCGCTGTCAAACAACGACAGGATTACTGACAATGTAATTTTATGTATCGAGGTTCAAGTGTTTTTTGTGTAAGGACTCACATTTCATGTCAGTTTATCTCTTGGGGCTTCCGACTTATTTTTATGAACTTTTGTGTTTTAGGCAAAGCTTGGGAGTTAAAAGTTTAATTTGAAACAATATTAATGAATGAGAATTTAATTGGTTATTTTTTTATTAAGATAAGTTGATATCAGAGTAATATATGTTCAAATTACACTTGATCAATATTATAGTCCTTGGTGTTCTAAGTACAAGATAATATCTATTCAAAGATAACCTTCAATCATTTGACATTGAATGCCTACACCCTTGACATTTTTTGTGCTCGAACCCGGGATTTCAGGGAAAAAAAATTCTTTTACCACCAAGGTCGTTTGGTTCATGCCCCTAATTGAAGATTAAATAAAGGATAAACTATATATTTAGTCACTTATGTATTCTTGTGATTTTATTTTGGTCGCTCAATTATTTTTTTAAAATTATATCTAGTGCTTACTTTTGGTTATATGTCGTTAAAAAATTAATAGTAATATTGATATGTCACTATAAAATAATATTATTTCATCATTGTAAAAATAAAAAAAATATCACATCACTACTTATGTTTATTTTCAGTGGAATGTGATCAAAATAGAACAAAAATATACTGTTATGTATTATTTAAAAAAAATAATTAGGTAACTAAAACAGAAGCGCCAGAATATTTGAGTGACTAAATATGTAATTTATTCTTAAATAAAACAGGGTAACGAGGTGGCACTAATGGATTGATCACAAGAAATTAGTTAAGCTGAACCTGACCGTTTACAATTGCCTGTGTTAAACCCTGAATTCGTAGGCATCGCCGCCTTGCTTCGCCTCTTTGCTCTTTTTCAATGTCTTAAAGCATAGAGCAACACAACGGCGATTGTAAAAAAAAAGGGAATGGAGATGGAGGTAGATGCTTCAGATATGGAAGTAGAACAACCGGTTCAGAATAGTCGGAGCTCAACCAAGACATTCGGTCTAAAAAATTCGATTCAAACCAATTTCGGCGACGACTACGTTTTCCAAATCGTCCCCAGGTACGCTTCCTCTCCTAAAATCAGTTCTGATCATCGAATAAATTGGAAATTTTGATTTTTTTTGTGGTGTTAAAGTTGATGGTGATGGGTTATTTTTGGTGGGTTTTTGAAAAAGGGATGATTGGACTTCCATGGCGGTATCATTGTCGACTAATGCAGTGAAACTTTACTCTCCGATGACTGGTCAATATCTTGGAGAGTGTAAAGGACATTCCTCGACTATTAATCATATCTATTTTTCTGGTGCTTCCAATCAAAATGTTTTGCACTCTTGCTCCTCTGATGGAACTATCAGAGCCTGGGATACCAGAACTTTTGAACAGGTGAATTCTTAGACCAGCTTTTTAGTGTACAAATTTTGAAAAAGGACCCTTCTTTTTTAATTTTTTTGGTGCAATTTGGTTGATGATTTTTGTTTTATTTGTAGGTTTCGTGTATAGCTGGCTCTTCTCAAGAGGTCTTTAGCTTCTCATTTGGAGGTTCAGATGATAATCTTTTGGCTGCAGGATGTCAATCCCAGGTCTGCACATTTTATGTTTAAAAGTTAATGTTTTTCCCATTTTAGATCAGCATCTGTTAGTTTTGGCCTAGTGTTAATGTAAGACGGGAGATGTTCTTGCAGCATTGTAGTCAATATGCTTATCCTATATGAAAAGTTGTCGGGCACAACTTTTTTTTGACAGTGTCCCAGTTCTCAGGACTTTCTTCTTGCTTGTTTATCTACAACACAGATACTTTTCTGGGATTGGAGGAACAAGAAGCAAGTCGCATGCTTGGAGGAATCTCACGTGGACGATGTTACTCAGGTTAGTTTTCCCCCTGTTCAGTTTGATCTCTGTTTAGTTTGAGGTCTATGAGTTTCTACTGTTTCTTCTACATAATTACATCCAATTTTTTTTGGCGATGCTTGGCATTAGGAAGCTTAATGTAGATTAACAAATTTATATATACTTCAGCCATAAGCTAGTAAGTGTTGAGATTTGGCGGTTGAATCATGTGGCTTATTGTTGTCATTGGTATTTCTCCTATTGTTGAAAGGTACACTTTGTCCCTGGCCGTCAAAACAAGCTAGCTTCTGCTTCCGCCGATGGATTGATATGCATATTTGATACCAACGGAGATATCAATGATGATGATCATCTAGAATCTGTAAGCGCAGACCGGTTTTTGTGTTAGTTTTTTCAGTAGATGCTCTACCGGCTAGATAATATTGTTTCCTAATCCTTTTAGAACTATGAAGGCCGGTTTCTTCTCAGGTCCTTGTTCCAATCATGAGAACTTTTAGCAGTTAGCTAGATGGTAGTTTGGTTAGTATATTATTACTTATCAGCACATGATTGAAACTTTTTGTTTTCAGCAAATAATTGGGGCCAGGTTTTATTGCATAGAGATGATTACCGTTGACTCCTCCTTATGAGTTAATCGTAGGATAGCCCTCTATAAATACTTCATATGCGATTTCCTTGTTTGTCTGTTCCTTTTCAAAGTATTGTCCCTTCAGTCTATACACTAAACAAGAAGATGAACTATTTTAGCTCTAAAAGAGTATCATTCTGATGCTCAATAGTCCAAAATTATCTGCTATGTTTGCTTGACGTAATGGTTTACCTAATGCATAGTTTATTCATATAAATTACTCCACTTGGGAATATGATTAATTTTTATGCCAACATTTCAGGTTATCAATGTTGGAACTTCAATTGCGAAAATAGGGTTTTTGGGGGACTCTTCTGAGAAGCTCTGGTGTTTGACAAACATCGAGACCTTAAGGTATCTTTATGCTTGAACCTCAAAATATGAGCCTTTGTTAAATGGAAGCTTCTCTTTTCTCCATCCTTCATTTAGTGGCGATGAATTAGGACCAATGCAGAAAAGGTTTAAGCTCCATGACTTTGCTATAAAATGCCGGGAGTAGATATATGTTTTTTTCCCCAGAACTAGTGTTTAGATGTTTATTTCACAACCCCTTGTAGTGTATGGAATTGGAACGAAGGAACCAATGAAGCAAACTTTGAGGATGCTCGTTCATTGGCATCAGAGAGTTGGACATTGGATCATGTAAGTCTGAAAATAATTGAATTCATTTACTGGCTTTGTTCTGTTTACGAGTCATTTTTGAAGTTCAAATTCGGAGCTTTTTCTAGGGTAAAGCAGCTATGAAACTTGATTGAACATGCACCAAGTTTTCAAGATCTTTTGCAGGTTGATTATTTTGTTGATTGTCACAGTTCTGGAGGAGAGAATTTATGGGTGATTGGGGGGACTAATGGTGGCTCTTTAGGTTATTTCCCGGTAAAGTATAAAGGAGAAGCAGTGATAGGACCCCCAGAAGCAGTTCTCGGGGGTGGTCATATGGGTGTTGTTAGGAGCATATTGCCTATGTCAAACATGCAAAGTGGACCTGCTCAAAATCGAGGCATTTTTGGATGGACGGGCGGCGAGGATGGTCGCTTGTGCTGTTGGATGGGCGATGATGATTCACCGGAGATCACTCGGTCTTGGATATCAGGTGGTTTGGTCAAGAAGTCACCACGAATTCGCAAAAACTGTAGGCACCAGCCGTACTAAGCATATCAATTCCTTTCCTTCTCATGCTGCGTGTCTAATAGCGTTCTTGTAACTTCACTTTTCCCACAAGTGTTCCGAGTTCAGCAAATGTTGTTAATTTTTATGTGCTGTAATGTGAGAAAGTACTTGAAAATGAAAGCATTCTACCATTAATATCAATATTTCATTATTTTGTTAAGAATTTCGAGTTTTGTAACTAATATTTTTAAAAAAACAAACTGGTTCCAACAAGTTGGCATGAGATTATATATAACTTGAATGCAGAAATCCAACAGCAAACCGTTGTGAATTCTGCAATTTTACATAATATTGGTTCTTTGAGCACCCATTCTGACAGAAAAAAAGAAGATAGAAACTGATTTCAGTTGATTGGATGCACAACCTGCTTCTAAAAATAGCAATGTTGCCCGACAAAGAACCATAAGGAAAGGCAGCAGGCCATTAGTCTGAATATGTCAAAATATATACCCAACCATGACACATTATTCAATGCCAAAATACACACTACCGGTGTAGTTGTTTGTTATAGCAATTTTATCTCTGCTTCCGCTGGTCTTTCCACCTGAGCCACCCCTGGCTCGTCCTCCTGCCCCTTGGCACCATCTTCAAAACCATACCGAGCTCCTTTTGGTTGCCTTCCAGGACCATCTTCTCTACCTCTACCTCTACCACGGCCAAAAACAGGAGGCTTCCTATCTGAGAAGGTCAGCAAAGTCAAATAGCCAAGTTAATTACTCCAGTTTTCATATGCAGAAACCTCTAGTAGTATCAACTATCAACCTCATGGTTAAAGTTCTGATAAGTTGATGCCCGAACAGAAACCAATACGTTGCAGACAGAATAATAAGCAGAAACCTCTAGTAGTATCAACTATCAACCTCAAGGACAATATATGAACAAAATTACATCACATTCAGCAGACAATTATCCAAGCACATTTAATCTGCAACATATGCTTCAGAGATTGCAGTACATATGCTTGCAACCAACTCATCAGAGAAACATATTACTTGTAGTAAAATATTTTTACTTAGAATTGAATACCACAATAATTGTCCCTCCCTTTTAATACTTAGGAAGAAAATCATACCTGCACGGCTCTTCATTTCTTCCTGAACTTTATCAATTACCTGATTCAACAGTAAAGCTATTAAGTTTAGCAAATTGGAGAAATACGGTAACTAAAATGGTTGGGAGAACGCACAAAACCATAATAAAAATCAGGCAACAATATTTTTGTGGAACTTAAAATTTGAGACGGTGTAACGCGAATGTCAATAAGTACAAATATCTAAAATTTGGTTTTCCTTAAGAGATGGCGGATGTTCTTATAAAACACTCTTTTTAACACCACATTTTTAAATCACTAAAACAAATTATTACACAGCTAGCTCTAGATTCCTAGACTAGGAACACCCTTTTTAACACCACAGTTTTAAATCACTAAAGATCCACTATATGCTTTCATGAAGATAACTATAAATCAAGCATTTATAAATTTAACAGATTGAATGAAATTTAAAAAATGTTATAATCTTAAGTTCTTAACGTAAGGAAACTAAACAACATATATAAGGAGTAAAAGCTACCTCATCAGGAACTCGAAGATACTTGATTGTATTTCCACGGATATTGCATTCAGGCATTCGCCAAAACCTGTCTCCATCCTACAACATGTTTTAAATCAAACCCCAACCAAAATTTCCCCATTCTTTAAGAGAAGAAAAACACCATTCTCACATTTATTCTTAAAAAGAAATAAAAAGAACATGTTTGAACGATTCTTGTACCTTTGAAGTGCAGATGACTTCACGAAGATGTATGTTCATCCAAGTGTCGCAATTGACCAAATGACCGTTATAAGTCTCCCCATTTTTCAGTTCCACCAGCTGTTAGAGAACACAAAGAAAAAACCGAATCACGAAGTATCTTAGAAGAATCAATAAATGAAGCAAGCATTTAGCAAGCAAGTCCAGAATGGGAATGCTAGGGAAAAGTGTGATCTTACCGTAGGATGACCCTGGACATTTTCAGTAAAGAAAGAGGAAGCTGGCCAAGGTTTAAGTAAAATGGATTAGACGAGAATATATATATATATATATATATATATATATATATATATATATATATATATACATTTCAAAAAAAACATAACAAAAATAAAAAGTAATCCAGAATCCCTAAGACAACATAGGAGAAGTTACCTGAAACTTTTTTCTTTTTCCTTTCCCGGTTCCCCCCCTCTCTCCAGGCGATTTCTAAGGAATCAAAACGAAGAGTTAATTAGAGCAACATACCATTTTTCTCCTCTTCGAATGCAGTAGAATCCTAAAGAAGAATCCTCGAAAAAAAACTGGGACAAAAATAAAGGAAAATAGGGAGAGAGAAAAAAAGTCAAGGACAATATCACAGACGACGACAACAACAACAACAACAAAACCCTATTCTCATATGCAATGGGGTAAGGGGAGGTAGGGTAGTAGGCTGTCCACCAACGCCAGGTTGAGAGCAGCTTCCGTGGAAGACTTCCGGCCAGTCAAAAAATTAATAACAAAGATAAAATATAATGCATGCTTAAATAAATAAATAAAATACGTAGTTGAACAATCTTCATATGCAGTCCATGCACGTCTGTAATGAGAAGTAATCCCTGTAAAATAAACCCCTGAATAAAAATATCACGGAGAGTAAGGTAATTAATTTTAAAAAAGCAGCAAGGAACTTCAGTCTTAATTACGATAGAACAATTACGGTTTCAAATCTAACCCTAGCTCAGATGAACAATTTATAATAATATTATACAATTCATAATTACAACTAACAATTAAAGCTTTGATTCGATCGGGTCAATAAAAATCCTAAATAAGAAAGAAGAGAAAGGAAATCGTAAATACCAACGAGGGAGAAGGAAGATCAGCTGAGCCTGAGAGGAGAGACGAACAACTTTTCAAGGCTTATATTTGAATTTCGATCTCACTACCTCAGTCACTGATTTAAATATAGAGTTTGCTTCGAGGGGATCGGGCGGGTTTTTGCCAGCCTTCACTATGTTCATAAATATTTATATAAAACATAAATAAAAATGTTTCATGAGTACTCATTATTATTAGGAAAATTGTATTAGTAATCATGAACTTTTAAAAAACTTTCATTTTCGTCATCAAAATAAAATACAACTTCCATTAAAATCACTACTATGAAAAAATTCTTTCATTAAATTATTCTTATTTTTATTCATCAATTTTTATCATTAACCATTCTTTTGGGGCCATTTATTACGATCATACATTCTTTGAGATCCCGGGTTCGAACACTTGGAATATCGTTACAAAAAGAAGCAAAAAGAACAAGTTTAACTGAAAAAAGATAATTTTATATACTGCGCTGTTGGTTCTTAGACGCTGGCTTAGGATTACATTACAAAAAGAAGCAAGAATCGAACCCAACCGATGCGACAGCCATTCCTAGTACGGCAGTATTGTACATTTCCAGCGCTTAGGTAGTTAACATCTGTTCACAAGAGGAATAAAGGTATCATACAGAATAAGTTTTAAGTGAAGACAAAAAAAAGGGGCCAGAACCACATGGATGGAATGCTGATCAAGGGCTTGTGCCACTTTCATCTGGTTCTTTCCTTAAGGTTGTCAGGTCTATCAAATGCCGCATCGTTGGTCGGCCATGCGGGCAATTCCATGGCGACTTCAAGTCTGCCAAATGCTCAAGTATCTGCGAAAATCACAACGTACTCGGGTAAGCAATCATTTAGTACCCGTATAATACGCAGGATTCGGATACATAGAAACTGCAGCCAAATTATCAGATCAAAGCATTGTTTACTTTGCATGGCTAGGAATTGGCCAAAGCGCTCATACTCCATCAAGTGGAGACAAATCCAACTAGTGTATTTAATGCCTATATATATAAATGCTCACAATGATAAAAGTTCCAGTACCACTGCAGGTTAAGGTTATTTACCTTTTGCATTTCATTTCGTCCAAGTGGATCTCCAACCATGACGGATGATCTGCAAGCACGTGACGCTAACATCCCACGGACTCTAGTTGGGCAAACAGAATCAGATGTGTCTGTTTTATAACTACCGATTATTGAGCATTCTCCTTGACTGTCTGAAAGCGTAGAGATCAAGTCTTTGACATCTGTTTACGGAGATAATATCTTCAAGACATCATTACATTTCATGAAACAAGTCTGTTAATAAAAATTAATCGTGAACATAGTCGCTAGACGGGGAGAATTTTAGGGTGTTTTTATAAAATGACAACCACTTTAATGCTTTATTAACAGATGCAGCAATTTTACAGGAGTCTAAAAATTGCCACACCCGGTCATATCTACTTACACATAAGTGTATGGCATACGTTGATCATGTTGTTCCCACCATCTTGACATCTGTATTTCTTCCTTAAATTGCCATGTTGACATTTACATCATATATCATACGTATACTAAGTAGTTGCAAGTCAGTTACTAAAACAATAAATCCTAAAATATTATGCAAGTGTGTTAACCAGTGTATACACAGTTAAGGGGTAAATTGGCTTTGATAAAGAACATCATTGAACACATGAGAATACTGAAAAGGACTACCGTCAACTCCAAAAGTAATGTTTTTACTGAAGGGAACAGCTCTGAGCTTAAAATGGTGCCCCGGTGGAGCATCCGGATCCTCTTCCAAAACAAACCCATTTTTCCTGAATATCTAAGATAAAGATATTCTTAAGGAAACGATACAAGATTTACTTCAAAGAGGTCATGAAAATTGAAGGTTCAAAGCATTCAAAAAGGAGAAAAATATATACTCAAATGAATGAAAACGAATCACATCCTACAGGAACTGAACCTGATTATGTCCATATGCATTGAAGCAACTACTTCTTCTGCAGGAGACAGCTCCAATTTTAGTGGCCTGGACATGGTAAGTCAAGTCAAGAATGCGATTCTCATTGGAAATTAAATGATCTCAATAATCAGAAAAATAGTAGGAAAATAAACAGAAACAAATCTTAGAATACTAATCCAAATAATATGACAGTAATTTTGTATTCCATGCACCTCAGTTCAATTGTTGCATCAGAGTAATTACAAGAAATATATCAAAGTCATCCAGTTCCTACCCCTTGAATGAAAAACTTGGAAGCTTCAGAAGAAGGGGCAGCTTGATTGGTGCTTCGCAAGCCACATGATGTATCCATTCAATTCAACAACTCTTAGAACTCTCCTAGATCACAGGCTACAACTACATGATATCTAGACATAAATAGAGTGATAATAACACTATCATATCTTTTCTGCAAATTGATCATATCCATAAGAATCTACTTTATTTATCAGAAAAAAGAAGATAAGAAACACTCCTAGCATCAGGATCCCATGCTTCGCTTCATGCACTTTTTTTAATTTTAATTTTGTGCAATTTTAGGATCTATTTACTAGTCATCAATCATCATCATCTAAAAGACTTCACATCTGACTTCAGAATTTCTAATTGAGAAAACATTTTTTTTAAATGGTAATTCAACAAATAATAAAACTCCTCACCAAAGCAAAGGCTGCTGGTTCAAGATGTTTGATTGAGCCAGATGCTCAAAATTGTATTTCTCATCTGCAGCATGCTGAAAATATACAGATCTTATGTTATTAGTTATATTAAAGAAAACGGCAAGTAATTCCACATGAAAGAGGCAAAACCAATAAGGAATTAAAAAGAAATAGCTCATGCGTTACCTGATCCACAATAAATAAATCTTCATCTAACTTCCCGATAATGAATCCAAGATTAAATTGCCCAATAACCTGTGAAACATGATAGTATTTCATGCATGTATAAATTCAACCAACACATTCACAGTTTCAGGCTTGCATTGTAACGTTAGAAAACTAACCTACTAGATACCAATGTTATTAACAGAGACATTTGGTCGAGTTCACGATAGTCATAACTGAAACCTAACCCAAATCCAAACCAATCCTAGCCAGAGACTATAAACTAAGTAGCAACCAAGTACTCTAATAGATTGAGCCCAATCAACTGGAAGAAACTTGTATGAGTTTAGTTTCTGAGAAATTCATGCATGTCCATAAAAAGCATTAGCAAGAAGAAAAAAGAAAAGAAAAGAACCTTCATTCGGTTAAAGTCTTCCTTTTTGAAAAGTTTCTCGAACTCTGCAGTAGCAGCATTTAAGGCTTGTACTTTTCGCTCCTCAATTTCTGGTTGAGAAAGTCCAAGTGACGCAGCAGTATAACACCTATTGACAATAATGAAATCAAATTACTGAACAAGAACCGGATAACAATTTTGCTACTCGGATTGAATCTTTTCATTGACCTTTTCTTCTTCATGCTGAGGAATCTGTTACTAGTGTGCAATATACTTGACATCCTCTGCTGCCTCTTTGCCAATAGGTCTTGAAATCTAAACTCCAAGATGGAACATACCTTTTTATCAGATGGAGGTAGGGGAGCATCAACAACTAAAGCAGAGGATAAAGATTCTGATGTTGGAACTGTCGGTCCTTTATCAGGTACATCCTCAGGATTCTTGTGGAATAAATCAATTAGTTCTTTTACCGCAGAAGGCACTGTGTTTTCATGATCCTGCAATTCCAGTAAAAGAATTAGCTGAAATAAAACGAGAGAACATTGACAACTGTTAGACATGGAAAGTTGATCTTCATGGTCCTGAAGGATTGTACCACCATAACCATGATATCTACCTAGGTTTCAGAGTAATGATAGATGCATTGCAAATAATTATGATACAGATCTTTTATAACTATAACCAGATACTCATGTTCATTTGAGGCATCTGATATATGTTTTGACTAGTATATGATGGGTAAAAAGAAGAATTAGGTAACATAGTTTAGAAAAAAAAGTTTTGAAACCGAAAAGCAATATGCAGTTTTTTTCCTAAATACTGGTTGGAGTTACTTTTGTTATCAATATGGAATTTATCCAGCTTAATTTTTTTAGTCTTGTTTCTTTACTGGTAAAGCAGGACTGAACGAGTTTCGAATAGATAACAGGACCATATACCTCTCCAGGTTTTCCACCACTAGGAGTACTAGGGTTTCCACTTTCACCCAAGATGCTATTTGCTTTGAGAAACTTTCTAGGCTCATTCTCATTCAACTTAGTGTAATCGTCAACTTGATCTCCTGAGCTCAAAGCACACATATCTGAATTGCTGTTCTTTGATTGATAACGAAGACTTTGATTTCTTAAGACAGGCCTTTCAGATAATACAGTACTAATGCTTTCATGTTTCTCTTACTTATGGTTATAAATTTTTTCAGTGATGATTGAACACAGCCTGAATGACTGTTACAATCTCTACTTATAAAAATTCCTTTCCCAGTTGCAGTTGTGGGAGACGAAGAATCCTTGTTAGCTATACTGTTCATATGAGTTGTCAAACCCCCATTATTAGACTGTGTAAAACCATCGATCTTATTAGTTCAGTGAACTTGTAAGATGAAGTCCTTTCTCAATGACTCCTCATGGTGTCTAAGGATCGGTCCTTCTGAAAAATCCTTGTTAATTGTACCATCCATATGACTTGTCAATTGGCCCGCATTAGCCTCTATAACAACATCAATCTTCTTTGTTCCCTGTACTCCTAAAGTCAACATGTTCTCATGATCACTAGAAACAAATCCTTCTGAAAACTGCAAACTTTGAGAGTAGATTTTAACAGTTGTAAAAGAGGGGTCCCCCTCCACAGAATGTTCCCTCGAGGAAACTTCCAAATTAACTCCAGCTGGAGGTAACTTTTCTAAAAGGCTATTAGATTCTTCTAGTGAAGAGAAAAACTCAGAGGATTCAGCTTCCTTAGTGTTCTCAACACCATTAACTATGTAACGGGAATTACTCGAGGAATATATCTCCTGCAAGCCCTCTCTCAAAGATTGCAAAATCATGCTTTCATCAGAAAATAACACTTTTCTTTTATCAGGAGTGACATTCACATCACATTCTCTAGTTGGAATGATAAAATTCATTATGGCTATGGGATACTGCTTAGAGTTTGCCCCTTTATATAATTCATTCACAAGCTTGGTCACCTTAGGCATATCCACAGGTCTACCATTTACAAAGAAGTATTGTTTGTCTCCCAGATTGCGGCCACAACCTTGTCCAGACTTAAATAAAACCTTCAATCTTGCAGCTGTCTGATATACCTATAGATACAGGCTTTAAGCAGCTAAATGTATTCACACCTAAAACTTGTATGACGTTATCTTTGAGGGAATCGCTTCCCTGTGTTTGAAGAAACACAGACTTCACATTTTTTCCGCTTGTGTTGCTGCAGACTAACCTGACTCTTTTCGCTGTGAGTGCATATGCCTGAATTGAAAGAACATTAGAATAATATCCTTTTAATCCAAAATATTCTAGATTAGTGAATGGATGATTAATAAATAACACCATGAAGACATACCACACCGCTATGATTGTGTAATGAGTATCACTAACTCTTAACAGAGAAAGGAGAAGAAGGCAAACGATAGTTGTCACAGTAAGAGACCCAAGAGATTACATTTTTTATGAACTAGTAAATTATACAGTACCATGATGTGTCTGTGCACTGTAAGCACGAAGGGATTTAGATAGCGGTCTGCGACCGCGATATAGCGGTAGTTGTGCCCTCCGCGACCGTTATTATATGACCGCGATACCCGCAATAGCACCCGCTATGTCCGCAATAGCGACAAACACTACGCGACCGAAAAAGCAACCGCTATTTGAATCCCTCATGAAACAACTAGTCACATGATTCAAGGTTAAGCAAACAATAACTGAACAACAACATGTTGAGCATTACATAGACCCCGTCATAGTTTATAGGCACTTTTAATATCTTCCTGAAAATGTAGCAAATCTTACAATAAAGAGGTTTTCATATTTATTTTCCTTCTAAATCGAGGACAAGGACTCGAAAACAGATTGCTTCAAACCTATTTCACAATCACCAAAGGCACAACAAATGAAGGCCAATCAAAAGTTGTTTTTATCTATACATAAAAATGTTCCTATATAACAAGTAATAAAGTATATAATTTTAAAGCTTTTGACACCCATGGATGCACTCACATTCAACAAGGAAATAAGTTTGGCATACTCCTTGCGTATGTTGCGATGAAATTCCTTGTTTCGCACTGGTAGGTTCGAGAACAACTTCTTTACAGTGACTGTAGTACCAATTTGCCGTGCAATTTTCTTCTCAGATATCAACACACCAGAATGGTCAAAAGTTAAATGCGTTGCTACTGGTTCATTTTTCGTTCTCGTTTCAATAGTCAGACTCCCCAAATAGCAAAGCGAACTCAATGCCTCCCCTCTAAACCCAAACGTAATCAGAGACTCAAGGTCTGGGAAATCCGCTAGCTTCGACGTATGATGTTTAAGTGCCACGACCTACGAAATAAAAACGAATGTCTAAAATTAGAAGAAGAAAAAACGGAGGAAACTAAATGGTGAAACTTTTGTGCTGCTAAATGGTGGATAATTTACCTTGAAATTAGTAGGAGAAATGCCACAGCCATTATCGATGACCTTAAACCATTCTGCTCCGTACTCTTTTAGAGCGATCTCGATGGTGGTGGCGCCAGCGTCGAGGCTGTTCTCAACGAGTTCCTTAACGGCTGAAGAGAGGTCTAATATGACTTGACCAGCGCAGATTCTGTGGACAACGCCTTTGTTTATGGGCTTAATTACCGGGGAATTGGACGGAGCCGGTCCTTCCATTGCAAGAGAGTAAATAATTCAACGAACCGAGCATCCACGGGCAACTTGAACGACAAAACCCTAGAGAATGAATTACGAGTACATATAATTCCCTATCTCGCTAGATTTTGCCGCCAAAACGAATAAGCAATTGGACGAGCTGCTTACTTGGTGGCGCCAGTGAAATATTAACTCCGTAATCCGTATACAAATATATTTTATGAGGAGGAATGTTGTAAATAATGAGGTTTAATTACAATTTTAAAAAAATTAAGAGTTTAATTGATTTTTTAAATAGGAAAATATTTAAAATTTAAAGAAGTGAAATTAAAAAATAGTAAATTTAAAAACATACAAAAATAAAATACGTTTAATTTATTTTTAAAAACTTTTAATGATATCTTTAAATAATTTTTTTTAATATTATAATATATATTAACTTTTTAAAATTAAATAAATTATTAATTTTAAAAAATAATTATACCCATAAATTTATTAAAAAATCTATTAAATCCTTTTAGGGTAAACTACGCGTTTATTTCCTAAACTAATAGTTTTACTCTGTTTTGGTATCCAAACTTTTAATCTTTTTAAAACACACCTAAAACCAGTTTAAAAATTAACACTAAATTTAAAAAAAAATTAAAAGTTTAGATACTAAAACGGACAAAAACTGATAGTTTATGTACTAAACAAATTACGTTTTTAACGATGGGTTCTAAAATGAAATAAAACTAAATTTATATATGATTTTGAAAAAAATTAAAAGTCTAGACGATCAAAACTAATAATTTAAATACTAAATACTTAATTTACCTATCTTTTTATAATATGATCATTCTCATGTAAATCGTTATAGTCAGAATCATAAATTATCACACTAACATCATTAGCCATTATATCAACAATGCAATAACTAATAAATGTTTTTACGGATCGAAAGATAACATCTATAATTTAAGAGTTGAATTAATAGTATTAAAATGAGAACGACATTGTTGATGTTGATCAGCTAAGAAAATAGAATTAGCCCTTAAATGTATGAATCAAGTGAATCAAGTGACATTTGTGATAAACGAATATATAATTATTTTTCGAGTGTGAGCATTTAATATCGAACTATTGAAAGTTTTCTATAAACATATAATATCTCATACTTACCCCCACCACATATTAATAAAAAAAACCTTAAATCAAAATAAAAGAAAAAAATGTAATTGAAAATTCTCCGAACTCACCTTTAATTTGTAATGAAGAAGATACCACTTTCAGACAACAATTGCTACATTGCATTGCTTTTGCACTTTTGCAGGCAGCAATTCGATGTTTTCTCATTATCCAAAATGATCACAACGACGACGACGAAAATAATGATGACAAATCCTTCGACAACGACGACGAATCCTTCTGCATTGCAAATTGCATACAAAATCAAAAGTGAAATTCGCAGCCAATTCATAAAAAGCTTAACAGCCGCTACTACGACTTCTTAAGGCAAATGGTCCACAAAAGATCACAATCCGATTGCACCATGACTGTTTCTCCTTTAACCACGTTCGATGTGCTTACTAAACCCCCAAATTCCATCTCCGTGTTATCTGCAAATCAGAGAATCAGACTCACAAAAACAGCAGCAATGTAACGAATACAAGCTCCATCGCTCATTGCCGGAAAGCTTCGAAAACGTAAGGATAACGAGGCATGATGAAAGGGATGGCATGAATAAAGCAAGAAATTATGTCCGAGTAAAATGTAAATGATATATGCTTTTACTCAGATCCCACTGAAGTCCTGTTGTTGTACTGTTTTTCAATGGCATCCCGATCGTATTTCGGATCTGCTTTTGTTTCTTTGTAAAATCATAATGGTCTATTGTGATGACAGGTCCAACTTCAATATGGGTATCCGTAACAAGCATAGCCCATAACAAATATTAAATGCGAAGCGAAGCCCGATTCGTGGGCAAAGATTGGTGAAGATGGAGAATCATGCTCAAGTCTTGAGGGTATTCGGCGAATCATCATCAGACAGTGAAGACTTCGATCCCCAACTGAACAACGAGCAAATCGCAGACCCAATTCCCTCATGGGAATAAATAAAGGGAATCAATGGATTATGGCTGTGCAGAGACTTCCTTTCTCCTCAACACCAGTCTTCTCTGGTTTCATCCGTATTAAACGGTTCTCTCTTTCTCAAAATAATTAGATATATCTGATGTTTGATTCCGTCGCTGATGGATTCGGTGGATTTTTTTTTTGTGTGCAGAAGGATGGTTCAACGAATATTCTCACAATCAGGTACGTGTACACTTTTCTATGTGCGAGAAAACCCTCAATTTGTGGTATGTTCATGTTTGTTCTGTAAACAACTCTTTGTTCGGTTTGTTTACGGGCCTAGACCGTGATTTAAGTGTCGGTTTGGTATTTTCGGGGGCAAGTGTTTGTCTAATCTAATCTCTCTGTTAATTCATGTCTTCAATCATGTTTTATTCAGGCCATGAGATTTGGGTATCTCCCAACATGGGCTATTGAGCTTTCTAGCTCTATACGTGAAACCATCCTCGTAGGGGATCATGTATCTGAACCCATAGACATGGTTACCTCTAATGGGGGCACCAAGCCCCCGTCTGTTACCTTCGAATTTATTGTGGAGAAAACCTCTGTTTGATCAACTTATCGTGAATGTATACCATCCAGGTGAGGTACGACATTAATATTATGGAGTTGTTCATGTTGGTTCAAAATCAATGGATATCATCTTCATGAAAAGTTACTATTTTTGTTTAGGGAATCTGTGCTCATGTTGATCTTATGCGATTTGATGATGGGATTGCCATTGTGTCATTAGAATCATCGTGTGTGATGCATTTCACCCGATGCTCTGAAAATGTTAAGCATGGTGAAAAGCATCCAATCCCTGTTCTATTGACTCCGGGTTCTCTGGTTCTAATGTCGGGTGAAGCTCGGTATCAATGGAAACACGAGATAAACCGCAAGCCTGGGTTTCAGATTTGGGAAGCGCAAGAACTGGTTCAGGAGAGGAGAATTTCCATAACCTTGAGGAAGCTCTGCCAGGTCGACTAGCTTTCCATGATGAACTGTTGCTATATATTTTATTTATTTGGTTTTAGTTCAGCTTGATAGTTGCGAGATCCTTTATGAAAACGGTCGATAATGGAGACAATATGTACATCAAAACGATGAACTTGTAAGAAGCAACAGAGAAATCAAAAGAATATGTTTGTTTATGATCAATCTAATGAACAAACGAAGAACCTGATCTTATTTGATTTACACGACACATGGAAGGGGAAGAAGAAAGAAAACACAACTATTTTTTGCCGGTTATATGCTTCAAAGGAAGACGAGCTTTAGATTTACAACGGACAAGAACGCAGCCCATGCCAGACAAGGCATGACCAAGTTACCGGCGATCGTATTCACTTTTCCGAAATCACTGTAACACCCAAACAGAGTCGCAACCATCGCCAAGCTCAAGACCAACCCGGACCAACCGGCTCCCATCCAAAACACGGTCGGCAGCCAAGCCAAGCTGAATCCCAAGTAAGCCGAATAAAGAGAAAAGGCATTCGGCCTGACGTGGAACCCGCCGTCGGCCCAAACGAACCAGGCCGAGAGACCCATCAGGAAGCTCTCGGCCAAGCAGGCTGTATGTAAAAGCCACAAAGGAGGGAACCAGAAGGGTTTGGGTTTAGCGCCATAACCACGACCCGAGCCGAACAGGTAGATATTCAATAAGGTGAGAAACAAAGGGAGCGAAACCGATATGACTAACGATCGAAGGCCACGTTTGGCCATTTCCATCCTCTTTTCTCGCCTGTTTCTGCTCTTCTCATCGGTGGTAGCGGCGGCGGCGGTAACCCCAGAATCATCCCTGGAACGTTGTCTAAGATTCTGGGAATCCATGGGTGAAAGCAACGGAGATTAATTGGAGCCTATAGTTATACGATGGAAGATGGATTTCCCAGGAGGGGTTTATGTAGAGGAGAGCAACATTTTGGGAAGGCGAACAATGAGTGACGGGTGGCGGAGGAAGTGATTGAAGGGTGGACACTGGACAGCGACGGTCACACACGTGGATGCGAAACGTGGCCATATGGTTTTATTTTGTCGACATAAAGCTGGGTGTTCCTGGTGCTTCTGGGGATAGACAGGTTTAATCAGTATGTAAGAGGATAACAATTGACTAAAATAGAAAACGACCGGATAAGTCCTTCTGCACTTAGTACTTTTGGTTTTATACGTCTTTTTAAGCCGTTCAAGCTTCGTTTTCAGGGGTTTTGACAATATTTTATTATCGGATTGTCTCTACATACTAATATACGATTAATATATGATGTTATCGGATATATTAAAAGATATTTAATAAATTTAATTTAGCTCTACTTATTATATTGACAGACTAATAATTTTTAGGTAGAAAATATAAAAAACTATTAAAAATTTTGATAATCGGTAAATTTTGGTTATCGATAAGTATCGATATATATAAGTGTTCATATTTATTTCAATGTAGAAAACATTAATTTAAAGTTATTTTTTGAGTGAATTTTAAAATATTAATTTAATAATTATACGCGTCTAATGATTTATTTTTATGTTACGGTATATATTATTATTCAATTAAAAATAATAATCATAGATATTACATATTTATTATTATCTTTGGTTAAAATTGTTAAATTTAAATTCTAAATAATATTTTTTTAAATATATAAACAATCAAATAATTTTTTGTGTAAATTAATTTATTAAATTAATATTGTAGGTGGAAAACATGAAACGCTATTAAAAAAATTTTGAAACATAAATTACATAACTTTTAACATATTAGGTAGCTCTTTACCGTTTTTATCATAATAAAACTGATTTTGTCATATTTTTACTTGTTATATTGTAAAGTATCGATACTTTCAACATATCAGGTAGCTCTTTACCAGTTTTGTCATAATGAAACTGGTTTTGTCATATTTTTACATGTTATATTGTTAAGTATCGATACTTTCAACATATCAGGTAGCTCTTTACCGGTTTTGTCATAATGAAACTGGTTTTGCCATATTTTTAACTGTTATATTGTAAAGTATCGATACATTTTTATAAAAAGGGTCGATACTTTCAACATATTAAGTAGCTCTTTACCGGTTTTATCATATTTTTACATGTTATTATAAAACATATGGATTTAATGAGAGAACAGGTAAACGTATGTGTCGATACATTTTCTAAAAATATCGACCCCAAAAATATTGAAACAATAATTATAATGTAATAGGTAAATTAACAATGTAACCGGTATAAATATACCGTTAATTAGAAAACATGTCAACATAATGTATCGACACTTGTGGAATTTGTGTCGATACTTATTGTCTAGAATGAATCCCCAAACGAGGTGCACGCATAAAGTGTCGATAAATTTATTAAAAGTATCGATCCCAAAAACATCGAAACATAATTATAATGTAATAGGTAAATTTACAATGTAACCGGTATAAATATACCGTTTTATGAGAGAATATGTCAACATATTGTATCGACACTTTTTAAATTTGTGTCGATACATTTTGTCCAGAATGAATGTCAAACGAGGTGCACTCATAAAGTGTCGATACATTTATTAAAAGTATCAATCCCAAAAACATTGAAACCGATAATTACAATGTAATAGGTAAATTTACAATGTGCCCGGTAGAAATATACCGGTTTTATGAGAAAATAGGTCTACATAATATATCGACACTTTTTAAGTTTGTGTCGATACTTTTTTCAGAATGAATGCCCAACGAGGTGCACGCATAAAGTGTCGATACGTTTAAAATTGTATCGATCCAAAAAACATCGAAACCGATAATATGCTATTGTACTTGATAATATTTCATGTTAAATGATATTAACATAACTGATAATAAGCGCTACCTAATATGTCATTGTACTTAATAATATTTCCGTTTAAATGCCTATTTTATTATATAAGCGCTACTATTACGCTACTTATTACATATATAACGCTACTAATATGCTATTGTACTTGATAATATTTCATGTTAAATGATATAACATAACCGATCTAAATTTTAACCGGTCTAAATTTTAACCAGTCACTTATTTAATTAGTCATATCATTTTTTAGTCGTTTTTAACCATCGCACGGCAAAACTTCCCTTTTTTTCTCTCTCTAAGTCAATTAAATTTAGAGGTATAAATTAGTGATAAGCAAACGACCGGATGGATGCATATATTTTTATTTTTTATTTATTTAATATTTTTGTATTTATTTAATATTTTTGTATCCATTATCAATTTATCATTTATGATGAATAAAATTTTCAAGTTTATATATGTTTACGTGTATACATTTTCAAATTTATCTCCATATACATTACCCAATTAGATATACATGTGAGTTCAATTAATTCTAAAGATTAAAAATTTGAGATAGGAGCGAATAATTCAATTTTATAAATGTTTATATCATAATATTTGATTAAATTGTTAGTTATGTCTTATAAAATTTTAAGATTTATAGAATAATTTGTGAAATTATACTTTTAAATTTATAATAGTAAAAATTTTATATGGGGGAGAATTAGTGGACGGACGGATACGGGATGAGTAAGATCTTAAATCCATCAGCTACTCACTATCCATTGCGGGTATGATTTTTTATATCTACACCCGTTCGCTACCTATTAAACTTATATCCATCCTCGCTGATGCGAAATTCATGAAATCCTACCCGCCTGTCATCCCTAATATAAATAGAAGTGTTCAATGAATTATTTATAAATCTATTTGTATAATATTTATTTATTAAATTAAACAATTAAAATTTATATATTTATTTAATAAAAGAATAAATGTATATGTTCAATTTGTTTATGTTAAGGAATAAACTCGTTTGAAAGTTTATTTATTGTTCATTTATCGACTTTTTTATTTGTTTTTTTTTATATTTTGAATATTAGTGATGGTGATGATTACATTAAATATATGATGGAGAGTATTTAAACATATATTACATTATATTCACCTCTTTTAATACATATAACTAATGTTTTCAAAATCGGACCGGACATTGAACCGGTGAAGGTACTGGTTCACTGGTTCAACCGGGTTCAACCGCGGTTGAACCGGATTTTATATAAAATAATATTTTTTTTTTAATTTTACATAATATTCAAAGCAATATTAATATATATGTAACACTTTTTTAAGTTTACAATATTAAAAGGTATAAAAATATCACAAGTCATAACATGTATAAATGAAAAACCATAAAATCAAGTGAAACAAAATGATTCAAATCAACTACAACATAATATTTAAGGTAAAACATATTAAATAATAAATATAATTATATAACTATAATCAAAAAAATAAAATTGGGGTTTAAAAAATCATAACAAATGATGTCATTTGGTTTAATTGTTTTTAAAAAAACAATCTCACATGGCTAAGAAACATAGAAGAGCATTCCAACTTACTTCTATAAATAATAGAGGTAATTTGACATTCAAAATCATGGAGCCTTTTGGTGAGCACAAAGCGAACTATTCTTTCGCTTCAATTAAGCTCAAATTTTAGGCTTCAATTGAGCTCAAATTTTAGGCTTCAATCGAACTTTTAATTTTTTTTTTGAGTTCGAGCCTTTTCGATTTCAAGTTTTAATATTATATTTCGAGTTGATAATTTTTAGCTCGTGAGTTTTTGAGTCGAGTTGAGCTTGCTTTTAAAGTTTTCGAGTTCGAGTCGAGCTCAGCAATACTCGAATTTGATTCGGCTCGTTGAACAAACGACGTTGTTTGGTTTAATTTTTTTTAAAGAAAAAAAGTGAACCGGCAGTTCAAATCGGTTTTGCCGGTTTTCAACCGGTTCACCCCGGTTTTTCCGATTTTCAGTCGGTTCTTCCCGATTCTTTATCGATTATGTGCTAATCCGGTTTTGGGAGTTAACCGGACCGGACAGGCCACCGGTTAACGATTCAACCGATCGAACCGGCCGATCCGATCCAGTTTTAATAACATTGCATATAACAAACGTTAAACAAAATGAATATTAATACTTTAAAAAATAAACAAAAAAAACATAAAATATAATAAAATAAATTTAAATAAAACACAAATTAAACATAAATACCTTTAAAAGTAAATAAACAAATATAAATATAACCTTATTAGTTAAAACTCACTCTGCTAATTTTACCCAAAACTAAAATAGAAATAAGCATGAATAATAAACGAAAAAGTGATAGTTTAGAGAAGAGAGAGATGAACAAGGGTTTGGGTTTGTGAATGTGCAGTCGAGTATCCATCAAACGGATCTATTTCCAGTCTAAAGCCCAAATCAAACTGTCCACAATCTAACCCAAGTATCCTACTCTTTCATCATCTCCGCTTTGCGTCTTGAAACTCGACTACTCCGATTGCCTTCTTTCTCCTCCATCAAGACAAGCCAACACAAGTTCAACCCAAAATACAAAAAGAAGGGAGGAAAAAAACCATGGCGGTGAAAAATTCAGCACCAGTTCATGGCAAACGTTCTAGGAGAAAAGCTGATGCTTCTTCTTCCCTGATCCCCAAACTCATGAAAAACCCAAAAACAACAATGGCTTTAGCTTTACTCATCATTGACTCCCTCCTCGTTTCCTTCATCATCGCCTACGTCCCTTGTAAGATCCCGAAGATCCCACTCTCTTACTGTTATTCCCCCTTCTTCCATGTATAATTGAGCTCATGGTTTTTAATTTTCAGATACGAAGATAGATTGGGACGCTTACATGTCTCAGGTGTATTATTTGTTATCCTAATCAAGCTAATTTCCTTCCTGGGTTTATTCGTCTGTTTGTTTTTATTCAATGGGAATTATGTAGGATTAGTGTTTATCGAGATGACAGGTTAGTGGGTTTCTTGGAGGAGAAAGGGATTACAAGAACCTGAAAGGGGACACTGGGCCGCTTGTCTATCCAGCCGGTTTCCTTTATGTTTACTCTGCTATTCAGTATGTTTCTGGAGGACAAGTGTTTCTAGCTCAGGTGATCTTTTTAGCTAGGCAAATATAATTTTCTTGTCCATGACATGTGCTTATGTAAACCAGTTATGTATGCTTACAATTTTGTTTTGTTCTTGGTTGCAGATTTTGTTTGGGGTTTTATACATCATAAACCTGGGAATTGTCTTATTAATCTATGTAAAGACTGACGTGGTATGGAATTTGCTATTGTTTACGGTTCAAGCACTAATATCATGTAAAATTTATAAAGCTGAGAAATAGATGTCTTTAACTGAGTGCTGTCAACGTTGGAAACTTGTGTACTTGAGGTCACTTGATTTCAGTTTTGATTCTCTGATACCATTTTCGCACTTAAGCGCCACTAAAGTTTGTATCTTTTCTCGTCAGAAACGATCAAGTCTCTGGAAAAGGAAAATGTTCTTTATTGTTATTGTTTCTTGCTTTATTTTGTATTGGTGCTTCCTTTTTTATCAGCATTTACTGTTCTTAAAACGTTTTGCAGCTTCCATGGTGGGCTCTTAGCTTGCTTTGTCTTTCAAAGCGAGTTCACTCAATATTTGTGCTTCGACTGTTTAATGACTGTTTTGCGATGACATTCCTCCATGCTGCTATGGCATCCATTCTTTTGGATGGTGGCGGTTTGGGTTGATTATTTTTAGGTAGTATGCTTAGTTTATCAGCACAATTTTTATTCCCTTTTAAGAAGGAATAGAAAAGAAGTTGATCCTACTTTCTCTCTCTTTTATGTGTAGTGCTGCAGTTTCAGTAAAGATGAATGTCCTTCTCTTTGCTCCATCTCTTTTTATACTCATGCTAAAGGTGCATTAACTTCTGCTTGATTTTGTTTTTCTAGTAATTAACAACTAGGTTAGTTATTTTACTTAAACAGTTGCATATTTCTTTGTTATAACCTCTTATAACAGGCTATGAATATCACTGGGGTAATATCAGCTTTGGCTGGTGCGGCACTTGTGCAGGTGTGTCAGCTATTCCTTTTTGGCCTCTGACGACTCATTATTAGCATTGAAATTTCCTTATAATCGGGATTTCTACTTCCAATTTCCTCACATCTTAACTTATATTCAATGTGGTTAGGTGAGTTGGACTACTGCAAGTAATTTCGTGGCAGGAGGCATTGCCTGTCAATATGTTTGTTCTTTTCTACATACTCAGTGAAAGGTTCTGCAGATTGTGCTGGGGCTGCCATTTCTAGTTTCATATCCAATTGAATATATATCACGTGCCTTTAATCTTGGACGCGTTTTCATCCACTTCTGGTAATTTTATAGCATTGAAAATGCTCACCATTCTCCTTAGTTGCCAGTTACTAACTTGTTGACAGGATTAATCAGTAGCATCTTTTCTGAATGGCAGTAAATGGAAATATTGTTTATGTAATTTTTCTTGGATTATTGATATTTCAAGGAATATTAGCTTCATAGTTCATCAACATGATCACAGTTTAGATTTTCTTTTCCGCATGGGACTACAGATTAGAATGGATTGCTAGATAAAAATTTGACCTGAAAGAATTCTGAAGTTGAGAAATTTGTTGTTTTGCTCTTTATAAATCCATTTGATAAGAAATTTTTCCTTTGATTTCCTAAAGGATTGTCACTTTGTATGTTGCAGTGGTATTTTGTGAATAGCTCTATCCTTCATTGTTTTCCCGACAACGCTTTTCGTAACTTGCACAACAATGGGTGTTGTTGAGGTCTAACTTCGACTTTTATTTTTTGCCAGGTCTGTCAACTTCAAGTTCATTCCTGAACCAATTTTTGTGTCGAAGGAATTTGCCATCTCTTTGCTGATTGCTCAACTTGTTTTGCTTATAGTATTTGCTCATTATAAATGGTGCAAGTAAGTGAAATGGCTTATGTTCTCTTAGTAGTAAATGCTGAATGTGCGGTCACAGGATTCTTTTTTCCAGAAAAAAAGTTAGTTTAGAGAATGTTTGTGCTGTTTATCATAAAATTTATAGATTTAACCTTTCAGGCAATATTTGTTGCCATGTGAGTTACATAAATAATTTTTATTGCTCTTATATATACGGCTTTGCAGGCATGAAGGTGGGCTTTTTAAGTTTTTATATTCAAGGATTAGGTGTTGTTTGTCATCATCCAGCTCTCCATGGCCAAAACCCCTCAAGAAAGAACGTAAGTCTATCCTTCTATGAATTTCCCTCTGTTCCTCTTCATAGGAATACTAAATTTGGTGGAAATGAATCCACAGATATCGTGACAACCATGTTTGCTGGAAACTTCATTGGCATTATATGTGCTCGTTCATTGCATTATCAATTCTACCTGTGGTGAGTGTCCTGCTAGTACAAATGCCTTGATATTCATATCTTCGACACCTCCCATGATACATATAATTATGGGCAATCTAGATAAGTTCTTTTCTAGTTTGTATATATTCGATATCTGCTCTACACAATAGTTTATGTGGAATCATACTTTCAGATCCCTCATCTGGTCTTAACTATAGTCTATGGGTGCAGGTATTTCTATAGTTTGCCTTACCTGTTGTGGATAACACCTTTCCCTACGTTGCTTCGGTAACTTCTTTACCCCAACGCGGTTTGAATGAATTCAGTGCAGTTAGTTGCGTATAATAATTTGTTAACCTTTCGCTTGTTCAGCGTGCTTATTTTCGTTGGAGTGGAGCTGTGCTGGAATGTGTTCCCATCAAACTTGTATTCATCTCTTCTACTCCTTTGTCTACATTTACTTATACTGTTGGGTTTGTGGTATTCTAAGCCCGAAAATCCTTACGAGACCGAGAAGTCGGTTTGTCGAAAGGAAAAATGAAACGCCCAACCCTTGTATGAACTTTCTTCATTTCATCTAATGGTGAAATGATGAATCCATTCATTTCTTAAAGGTTTAATTATACCCCCACCCCTTGTATTCTAAAGATTTGGAAACTTTAGTTTGCTTTGAATTTCTGTGAAGTTGGTATCTTGTTTGATTTGACGAGTAAAGATCAATTAATAACACTGTTATTTCAATTAAATTCCATTGAGGCGTTTCGTTATTCAAATTAAAATTTAATAGGAGAGTCTGTAGTGTTATTACTTGGACAGAAGATTAAATTTTCGGAATAAAAGGTTAGGACTAAATTCAAAAGTCCAATTAGTAAGGGTACTGGGAGTATATTTAAACCAAAATAAAATAAAAAAGCAGCTTATTTGTTTTTGAAAGGAACACAAAAAGCAGATGAGACTTTCTCTTGCAGGGATCCATTCCTGTGGTTAAATTTTGAATTCACTCGGCGCTCGACAACTCCTTTCTCATTTGGGCTTTTGCTTATGCTCAATCGGAAAATACCCTTCAATTTTCACATTTAAATATTTAAGAATTCTCTATTTAAAAGAAATTATATACCTCGTTATAAAAATGGATATTATTCAAACACATTTGTGTGTAAATGAACTAAGTTATCTCAGTGGTTAAAGGCAGGACTGTGAAGAAGTCGAGTCGAGTTTAAGTATTGTTAAGTTTGACTTGAAAACCCGCGGGCTTAAAATTTTCAAGCTCGACTCGATCACGAAACCATGAATTGAAGCTTATAAAAGCTCGAGACACGAACCCAAGACCACCCGAAGGATCGTTGAGACACTTTGTGCACCCTCACTTTCAAAACTAATCACCATACCAACTCAATTGATATATTAAAATCCATAATTTTAGGCGCATATTTTTAATGTATATCATTCATAAAAAATAACATAAATTAAGTGACTAGTTATGTTATAAAGTCATAATGTATTAGAATTGTCATAGAAATAAAAATTTAGCCAACACTTATTGTGGCATTTTTTTACACTAAGAGTATTTTAACCGTCGTTTTAAAATGCCACTATAGGGAAAAAAATCGCTATAAACAAATTATGCGAAGTGATATTTAATGTCTTGCAGTGCTTCTAGTGAAGTGTTTTCTTGTGTTTAGCAATCATGTCATAATCTAAAAGGACCAAACTAGAATACTTAACTAATATTATATTTATAGATTGTTCGAAGTTCGAAGCAACATTTAAGTACATACATAATGAGTTCTTCTTTTCTTTAATAGCATGTAGGTTTTGTTTCCAAACTCGAAGGCGACATAACTAAGGGGCAGATAGTTATGATAAAAGCTAGCATTCACTGGATGTTGAGATCCCCAATGCTTCAAAACTCTTAGCTTTGTTTTCGGGCAGCAATTCGTTTATAAAGCGTCCCCACGAAACCTTTCGGAAAAAGTCCACCGGGCTTGGTGGCGTCGCCGGATATAAACACGATCCTCAAGAATTCTCGTTCAATCCGTTTATACGAAAGGGAGTTGACATCCGCCGCTATGACGTTATTGGTAGTTCGACCCTCAGCTCCGAGCGGAAGCGGCACGGTCAAACCTTCATCTTTCACGCCGCAGCCACCCAGTCGGTTACCAATTTGTGCAGTAAGGTTGGTAAAGTTGCCCACCGTTAACGTATAAGGCGGCACTGTTGTGTTAGCCATGTCTTTGAGTAGTGATCGGATAACACCATATGATGCAGCCTCGTAGTACGTGATTCCAGCCGCCAACTATATAAGAGAAAATTACCAAGGCAATGGTTTAAGATTAGATTTGAAACGTGCGAAAAAATATAGTAGAATTAGACCACTTGTCCGTTAAATCATTAACCGTGGGAATCAATTCTCATGTGGGTGAGTCCATCAGTTAGCTATTACAAGTATAATAATATATATAATGACTCATAGACAAAGTTTTTATAATTTTCATAAAGAATATTAGATTTAATTCCTTCAAAATATATCAACTTTTCCGATAGAAAGCAGTTACCTCTTGTTCACGGTTTCCGACAATCGAAGGCGTAATACCAGCGTAATATTGTTGTAAAAGATAAGAAGAATAAATAGCTACAATGAGAAAGCTTTTTGTGTTGTCATATATATTGTATGGAGGATGCAAAGTGACATTTATAACGTCGTAATATTTGGCAATAACTTGTGCTCTTATATCCAACTGTGGCATTGGAAGTGGAGTCCTTTGGAATGTGACATTTGCGAGTTCCCTGCAAGATATCAAAACTATTTATAAACAATTAACTGCGTATGCTAAAATCCCATATTATGGAACGATCTGCAGGACCTGATATGTCCGACGCTAGCTAAACCAGATTCCTCTACAATCCTTCTGGTGCGGTTATCGAGATTGGCAACGGTGACTCCGATGGGAGCCGGACCTTCGACCAGACCTGGTGCTATATCGTTGATTCCAAGACCAACTGAAGAACCCAGATAAAGTACTGCTTTATAAATGTGCAAGTTCAAAGCGAATTCGAACATTTCTCTGGTAGAAGCCAGTACTGGCCTGCAGCGAGGTGGAGGAAGAACATTGTTGGCCTTCAACATGGTGGATTGAAATGCAACAAGTAAGATAAAAATAACACATAAGAATGACCGAGTAGCCATTTTTGTTCAAATTCCTTGATGAAATTCACTTGCAGGAGATTCGGGGTGGGTTCTCCGTTTATAGTGAGGGAATCTGGTGTCCCTTCATGCATGTCATGCGACCACGTAACACCATAACATTCATTGCTTAATAACTTTCAAGTTAGGTTTACTTTTATTTGTTAATAAATTTCATGCACGCAAGACTAGATCCCCAGTTTATTTGTATTTTTTCTTCTTCTTTCCTTTTTTTTAAACCATATTTTATGTTTCCTCCTCTCACTCTTCCACTTTCTTTAAACCATAGTTTCATCTTCTTTTGAGGTTCGTTTGTCGATGCAGTCAGATTTATTCATATTTTTATTTTGTTTCGAGCGTTTGTTAGGTTTTTTTTAACTTTTTTCTTCTTTGAACTTTGTGTAATATAGGTGTCTAGTTTTTGTGTCAATGTTTATTGGAAAATGTCCTAATTATAATTTAGTTTACGTTTATGGTTATGCTTGTAAATCTTCATTATAATTCTAGATATTTTATATTTTTAATAAAACTAATAGATTTATATAAAAAAAGTAACATCTTAATATCACATAAGGACCATACAAAGAAATATTAAAAAAACCTAACCAAAACTCGAACAATGATAAATACAAACATATCTGATCTAATCGACAAACAAATCGAAAAAGGGGATCAAACTATTAAAAGACCACCGATAAAACCGTAAATTAGAGTCAAGCGACATAAAAACACTATCCACAAATGCAAATTGAGTATCAAAATCCAATCCGAGGGTCCAAAGCATGGAAGATCATCATGATAACATATAAGCGTCATCTTGATCAGTTGTTGCGATGTCAAATCAACTCTTAAAAAAAGATAAATGAAAAACGACCAAATGACCAAAACATGTCATAAGGACATACTTGTTAAAAATTAAAAATATAATATAAAAAATAAAAAGATAATAATATAATAATATTACATATTTAATTATTAATAATTTTATATATTAAATTAAACTAATAAAATTAAAAAAAAAACATGTATGTTTTATTTATATTATAGATTATTAGATTTTGCATTTCGAACTTTTAAATTCTATGTTTTATATGTTTTAGTATGTAATTTGAACATGTATGTTTTATTTATATTATAGATTATTGGATACCCCGTTACATTTACTATTATATATAAAATAATATTACATATTTAATTATTAATAATTTTATGTATTAAATTAAACTAATAAAATTTAAAAAAACATGTATGTTTTATTTATATTATAGATTATTATATTTTGTATTTCGAACTTTTAAATTCTATGTTTTATATGTTTTAGTATGTTATTTGAACATTTAAATTTGTGTATGTTTTTTTAAAATTAATAATTTGAAAATGATAAAAACTCCGAGTACCCAAATACTCGAATTACGAGTACCCGCAAAATTCGGGTGCCCATAACATCTGGGACGGGACACAGGTCGATCAATCAAGTATTCGAGGACCCGAGTACCCGGATTTAAACACCCCTAGTGATATACATATGTTATACAGAGTCAAGGGACTCGACTCAAAATTAAAAATCAATCCATTAATTACTAAAAATTTCGAGTTGAGTTACTATTTGAGTTACTCGAGTTGTATTTTACAACTTGATTTGAACTTGAAATTTTTTCGAGCCAAGTTGAGTTTATGAAATTACAACTCAAAGTCAATTCTAGTAGAGTTTTCTCGAGTTGCTTCGAGTTGAAAAAATCGATTTTTCAAATTAAGTCGAGTTTTGCTCACCCCTAACTGAACCGTTAAATTGTTAACATCACAATGACGTGATTAATGGCTACCAGCGTAGACACTCACAAAAAATATGTTGTTTTTATCCGACTGTTAACGATTTAACAGTCTAGTCGTATAATTGAAACAAAAATCAAAGTTTAATGCTATAATTGGAAATTTTGAAAATTCAATGGCATAAACGGTACATCAACTAAAGTTCGATGGTATCTGATGTAGTTTACCCTAAATTTAATAATTAAAAAGTATTATATATAAGTTGGAATCAATTCTTATGGAAAATATGAATCAATCTGCAGGACCTGATATGCCCGACGCTTGCTGAACCAGATTCCTCTATAAAGCTTCTGGCGCGGTTATCGAGATTGGCAATGACACCTCCGATGGGAGCCGGACCTTCGACCAGACCTGGTGATATATCGTTGATTCCACGACCAACTGAAGAACGCAGAAAAAGTTCTGCTTCATAAATGTGCAAATTTACAGACTCGTAGAGTAGTGATCGGAAAACATCATATGATGCAGCCTCGTAGAGCGCGATTTCAGCGGCCAACTAAATAAGAGAAAATTACCAAGGCAGTGGATTAAGATTAGATTCGAAACGGGGAAAAAATACAGACTTAAGTAATTCATTTATTATTCTTAAACTGTCATAAATTTAAGGGTAAACCACATCAGATACCACCAAACTTTAGACGTTATATCGTTTACACTACTGAACTTTTAAAATTTTTAGTTATGTCATTGGTCATTGATTTTCGTTTCAATTATACCAATGAACCTAGAGGTGAGCGTTCCATCGAGTCGATTCGAGTAAAAAAATTTCGAGTTATTCAAGTTGACGAGTCTTATTTTACAACTCGAAGTTGACCTAAAATTTGTTTAAGTCGAGTCGAGTCGAATCAAATTTTTGAGTTTCTATTTAAATTTAATTGTAAATATTTATAATGTTACGAAATTATTTGATTCTAATTTAAATGGTTTTTTATAACCATAAACAATACATATGTATTTTTTCATATTTTTTCTAATGCAGAAAAAATTCTGCTTTATAAATGTGCAAATTTACAGCGAATTCCAACATTTCTCTGGTGGAAGCCATTAATGGCCAGCGGTGAGGTGAAGGAAGAACAATGTTGGCCTTCGTCATGATAGGTTGAAATGCAAGAAGTAAGAGAAGAAAAACACATAAACATGATCGACTAGCCACTTTTGTTCAAATTCCTTGATAAATCTCACTTGCAGGAGAATCGGGATGGGTTCTCCTTTTATAGTGGAGGGAATCTGGAATGCATTCATGCATGCCATGTGAACACGTAACACCACATGCAAGTTGGGTTATCATTCATTGCTTAATAAATTTTAAGTTAGGTTTACTTTTATTAGTTAATAAATTTCATGTGTGTGGGTTAGGAGAGAGCAAAACTCAACTTAAGTCGAAAAATCAATTTTTCGATTAGACTCGAATTGAATTCGAGTTGTAATTTTATAAGCTCGACTCAACTACCAATAACGGCATAACGGATTGTTGCCCTAAGACAAAGCTATTGATATTGGAAGACCCAAAAGATTCTTTCAATGTATCATTTCTGGGTCCAATGGAATTCCTAGGTATAGGAAGAAGCCCTGTCAAATAGAGATTTTTTCTTTCAACCATATTTCGATTGTTAATACGATATATAAGGACCTCTACTACAAATAGTACTACACCCTTAATCGTGAAATATCGATTGCTTATTGAACCCTGTGAATTGCGTGAAAGTAGGATACTCCAAATTCGGGGGTCCAAGAGCTTTGAAGCATTGGGGATCACAACATCCCTTGAATGCTAGCTTTTATAATAACTGCATGTTAAGTCATACGTAGACCAATATATATACGATATTTCTAGGGAAATATATTTCTGAGAAATAAATAAAATATTTTTTATCAGACTCGTCAATTAAAAAATTATATTTCTAGAAAATAAAAAAATATTTTGACCATCTCTTTAATAAATTTATAAGTCCGCCATTTCCTTAACATTTTTGTTCAATTGTACAAGAATAAGATTTATTTCATTTAGCTAATATAATAAAATCCAAATTAATTTAGTTTTTGACTTTAAATTTTTTATCTACTCATTAATATATGTTTAGATTTTGATTTATTTATGCAGCGATATAAATCGAAGGAGACTAATGGAGCAATTATCCTTATAAAAAATTTAGCCTCTCATACTCCTAATTTAGTTATTTTTTATTTATTATTAATAATTTTTATTATATTCTTAAAATTTTATAAGTTTATTTCTTTAATATAAAAGTATGTGTGGGACTCCTAGTATTTTCATAGCTCTTAGCTAAGTCCTTGGGTTTGAATTCGTCTAAAAAGTGTCCCATTGAAGCCACTTGGGAAAAATCCACCGGGCCTGGTTGCATTACCGGTTCCGAATAGGATCTTCAAGAGCTCCCGTTCATACCGTGGGGAAGCAAGGGAATACACATCCGCCGGTACGACGTTACTGGTAGTCCGATTCTCCGCTCCGAGTTGGAGTGGCACCATCAATCCTTCATCTTTCACACCGCATCCCGCAAGTTGGTTAACCAGTTGTGAGATAAGCATGGTGAGATTCGCCACAGTGAATTTATAAGGCGACACTGTTGAATTCGCCCTGCCGTACAGTTGGGCTCGGATAACTCCGAATTCTGCCGCCACCTTGAGCGCTATTCCGGCCACCAGCTAAATGAAAAATGAGAAATCGTAAATTATACTGATGGTCATTGAATTTTAAGACGTTTTCGTTACAGGCACTAAAATTTTAATTCATTTTAAGTCATTACCCGTCGTTCAGCGTCGCCGACTACGGAAGGAATAATTCCGAGCAAATATTGTTGTAAAAGAGAAGAAGCATCGGCGGCAACGAACAAAAAGTTGGTGGTGGCTCCGTAAACGTCGAATGGAGGAGTCAAAGCAGAGCCGTTCAAAACGACGTCGATTAAGTCTGAAAAAAGTTGTCTGCTGAAATTCAGCTGAGGCCTTGCAACCGGAGCTTTGATTTCCGTGACGTTGACGATAGCCCTGCAAAATCCAATTTTTTAATCATTTTAGAACATAAGATGGATTCCTTAATGTCCCCTAAACTCGATCAGAACCTGATATGTCCGACACCACTTAAACCAAATTCCTCGATGATGTCGCGGATTTCACCGTCGAGCTCCGCGACGGTGGCGCCGATGGGAACGGGGCCTTGGACCAGACCTGGTGATATACCATTGATTCCACGACCGACTGAAGAACGCAGAAAAATTTCTGCTCTGTAAACGATCAAGTTCAAGACGAATTCAATCTTTTCTAAGGTGGAAGCTGGTACCGGCCTGCACTGAGGTGGAGGACGAACGGTATCCCCCTTCATAACGGCGGATTGGAAGGCAACAAGAAGGAGAAAAGCATAGGAGCATGATCGAGTAGCCATTTTGCTTAATTATACAAGATCAATGATCCGTTGATGATTATCACCGCCACTGTTATTCTGCTTTTATAGACGGGAAATAAGATGGGGGAGAGATCTACTACATTCATTCATGTGATAATGACATAATGTGAAGTGAAAATAAACTCAGTCATTAAAAATGTCTTATAATATACGATTTTAACTAATTTTTTTTGGATTTGCCAAAATGACCAACTAAATCGCAATGCGATCGATAATTCGCAACGCGATCTCCGGTATCACAAATCAGTTTCCAGACGAACTTCGACTATCGCATATTATAAGACATTTTTAGTCACTGAGGTTATTTTCTCTAATGTAAATCATTTACGGAGAATATATTACCTTTTGTAATTAGAATTAATTTTTTAAAGTTAAAAATACTGTTATGAGGTGATTTTTTTGAATTTGGGAACAAGAATTCAATAATGGACTTCATTAATTACTAATTAGTTTCCTGTGACTTCATAGAAGTCCCTCGTTACACGGCAAAAGCTCTGTTAGGATCATTGAACAAACATATTGACAACTTGTATCAAGTCATAAGAAATTGATTAGTAATTAATCCACATTAAAAACATCATATTAATCGTGGCATCTTGATAGCCAACGAAATCATTCACACCATGAAACATTATGAGAACAACGAGGGGAACATAGTACTAACATGGAGAAGCTGGATCGGGGAGTACATCTCAACAGCGAGAATCGCGGTCTTAGTCAACGGCTTCCAAGCTCGGCACTCACATAAAATGTTTTACTTTTCGGAATCGAATAAATTTTAAATAAAGTGATAAATGATTTATATTTAAATCTTCAACGAACATGACTTTGATAACTAGGTCTGGAAGGATGGTTTTTAATCGTTTTATTTAAAGATTATGTAGAAATATGAAATATAAAATTGATGTAATATAATATTTAATTATCATTTAAAAATAATTATTTTTTATTTAGTAGTATACGATTATTTGTTGATATTAATCCAATAAAAAACTTAATATACAATCAAAATTATTTAAGAATTTTTTTAATATAAAATATTTTTTAATATTTTTTATTCTTAATAAAATTAAAGGTTTTAGTTACATAAAAAAAGAGAAGAAAAGGGAATCTATCAAGCGATCCCACTAATAAAAGAGAATGTTAATCTTATTAAAAGTCTCGAACAACTCTACCTACAAAATATGTGTATGTTGTCAATAATTAAAAAAATTTATTGTATTATAATCATTTAAGTTTTTGAGGACCAATTTAAAGATACAATAAAATTTTATATCCTACATCCGACCAACCCGAAAAATATATATCCTCCACTCGACTCCACATCAACCCCATTTTTTAGAGTATAAATTTGATCCGACCCGATATGAATTAAGGATTTAAGTAAAAAATAATAAAAGTTTATACAAATTACATTATTATCCTCGGATCGGTTCGGGTCGGAGTTATTTTACTCTCAACCTGAATCTGACCCGATCTCACCTCCTAAAAATCTAACCCGACTAGACTCGAATATGATTTTTTTTATAAAAAAAGTCCAACTCTATCAGATCTGGTCGAGTAAATGGAATGACCAATATAAATATAATAAAAAGTTGTCAGTTTATTATTATCTTTTTAATTTATAATCTCTTTCCGAGTATTCTTTTATTAATTAAGAATGACATTAAAAGTAACGTTTATTTTATTATTTCTTTAATTCAACTACCCATAAAATAGTTAATTAATTGTCTCACCTAAAAAAATCTAAAAGAGAAAAAAAATTAAGAACTCAAATCTCAGTCCATACCTATGTTTCTCTAGATGGAATCTTAGCCATTAATTTCTTTTTATATAAGGTTATTTCGTTGAGATTCTCGACTATTAAAAATTAAAATAAAATAATCATCGACTATTCATCACGTTCTAAACTTGTCATTTTCGGGTGTCGGGTTCTTGGTTTATGGGATTTGAGGATTGAATTGAGAAGAGAATTATTCGATTGGGAGAAGCCAATTTGGTGTGATTTCCTTCATGTTTTGAATAGAGCGGTGAGCCATAATCAAAGCATAGATAGAATTAACTGGACCGGAATGCTGGATGGAATCTTTTCTCCGAAATCTTATTGTTTAAAAATGGCTTGTGAAGGCTGGTTGGCTGACCCAGTGTGGAAAATGGTCTGGTTTAAGTTTGTTCCTCAAAAGGTTTCGGCTTTAGTGTGGAAAGCAGTTCAAAATAGAATGCCGATAATGTTAGAATTGGAGAAAATAGGAGTTAACTGTCACGACCAGTTATCTTGTTTGTTCTGTAAAAGTGAGATGGAAGCTATAAACCACGTCTTTTGTCATTGTGTTGTTACCTGGGGTGTTTGGCAGCGATGGTGTAGAGTGTGGAATGTTAAGGTCGTGTTTCTGGAAAATGTAAAGCAACTGCTGGAGGCTTGGTTCACTCAGAAAATAAGGAGGAAACTTCGGAACCTTTGGATTCTTGGTTTTTTTTGGGATGGTGTGGGTTATTTGGAAGTGCAGAAATCTCCTAAGATTTCATGGGGTTTTGCTGTCGGCCGATCAGATATTTCACAGAGTAAAGCTACAGATTGGAGTATGGGCTAATTACCTGTGGTCGCTGTTGATTTCAGTAGTTTCTGATTTCGTATGTAATCCGGAAGCATGCATAGGTGCAAGGCGGGATTATCTTTGATTTTCTGGTGATAAGCTTTCTGCTGTTTGCTCTGCGCATGGTTTTGGTATTGTCTGTGTTTATGGGTTTTGCAATCTGCCTCACGGTGTCTATACATTAAGCTTATCACTGTGTTGAGTTCTCTACTCATTGTTTATACATTCTCTAAATGGTTGTTTTGGTTTACAACTTATGTTTTGTGTCTGTTGCCATGTATGGCTGTTTTTGTGGTTGTATCATGTGTTCTACTACTTGACTCTTTTCCAGACACTCTTTTTCCTCTGTATAGGTTTATGGAGGTTTTTTATCGAGACCCTTTGGATGGTCACTTTGTATCTATTATAATACAAAGTACCTTATTTTCAAAAAAATGTCTGATATTTTGAGCTAAACGATAATATGTTGATTGCGATATAATAAAATTTGATTATAGAATCTCAAATGACTATCATATCTCAGTCATCATGTTGATGCCTAACTTAAACAATCACCAATTTATTAGCAGAAAATGACGAGTTTGGAACATAATGAATAGTCAAGTGACTACTTTTGTAACTTTTAATAGTCAAGGTTCTTAACAAATCAACATATTCTATAGTTAGAGGACCCCTTTGTAACTTTTAATAGTCAAAGAAATTAATACAATAGTACCTATAGCCAGGGGACCATTTATGTATTTTACACTTAAATAAAAAAAATCAATTAATTTAAAGTAAAGCATTGAAAATTATATTTTTATTACTAACAAACCGACTATTCAATTAATGAATTGGCAATTTCATGCACGTGGGAACGACAAATCTTGTTTCGTGACTTAAAAAGACAGAACGGTAGATTTACATTTTAAATAATTTAATAGGATTATAAAATAATATCTATATTTGATTTTAAATTTGAATAAATTTATGGTTAGGTTATAAGTTAATTATTTAAACCATCAGTTTTGATATGTTTTAGTATTAAAACTTTCATTTTTTTCAAAGCCATATTTAACGTTTAGTTTTTATTTCATTTTAATACATCGTCATTAAAAGCTTAGCGGGTGATTTGTGTGTGACACAATTTTTATGGGTAAATTGCATCATTCATCATTAAACTATCTTCTCACTTCTATTTTGGTACTAAAATTTAATTTTTTTTAATTTAACTACTCAACTTTCAAATTGTTCTATTTTAATCACTCTAATTTATTTTTTTAAAAATGTTGGTGACATGACATTTTTATTATTATTTTATTAATATATAATAAAAAATAAAAAATAAATCTGATGAATGATGGAATTTACCCGCAAATCACCCGTTAAGTTTTTAATTGCAATGTACTAAAAGGAAACAAATTATGTATGATATTAAAAATTTGAAATTTATGTGCATATTAAAATTGATAGTTTAAGTACTAAATGCGTAATTGACCCTAAATGTATATATACTTATAAGATAAATTTTAATTTTTTAACACTTCATCTTTGTCATATATTTTATACATCACATTTTTCTAATAGTTCGAGATAATTACAATATAATATATATTCATAATATTTCTTAATCATTGACAATGTATACATGCTTTGCAAATATAGTTTCTCAATCCTAAAACCTCTATAATAAATAATACTTTCTTGTACCGCTAAAATTGCTTTGATGGATTTTCTATACATCACAATAAATAAATATTATATTCATAAAATATAATTCACTCCGAAGATGTCTCAATGATGAAATGCTTGACACATAATACTTAAAATATAGTGCTAAAGAGCATAAAGGTTTGAATCTTCTTTAGGGTATAATATGATTTGAATCTTCTCTAATAAAACGTAGAATCCATTTTGAAAACGTTCGCCTACACACATCTCGAGTATAGAATCATAAATACATTTTAAATTCAATTTTATTATAAAATAAAAATAATAATTTTGGTATAACAATTGATACTTAAGTTATTGATTAATTCAAACAATAAATAATATTTATTTTCACTTTTAAATTTGAATAAATTTAATATATACTTATAAGAAATATTTTAAGTTATTAACCCTTTATCTTTGAGGACATTCGCTTGCACACATCTTGAGTATAAAATAAAAAATACATCTCAAATTTAATTTAATTATAAAATAAAGATAATAATTTTGGTATAACAATTGGTACTTGATTTAATATCTCATGTTAATAAATCAATCGATAATTTTTAACTCTCCAGACCCAGCCTATGCATTACAACTATATCTAGCATGTTATAATAAAAATTTACAAAAATAATCGTCACACTTTAAAAATCAAAACTTCTTTAAAAACATGATTAAAATGATAAAACTCAAATCGAATAATATAAAAC